TAACCGAAGTGTGAGCAACATCCAGTGGTGGAGTTGGAATGTCGATTATTCCTTTTCCAACTTGTCATGATTTCTCTCCCCTGCTATACAGTTTGATACAAATTGTGATACAGTAGCCTGTAGAAGATTCACCGCAATCGAGCTTGTNNNTGATACTCTGTATTTTCTTACAATTACAGAATTTGATTATAGCAATGTTCAACAAAGCTGAGCCATTCTCACAAAAACTCATTAAAAGTATATGGATGTCAAGCCACTTGCACAAATGATCTACCGGATCTGGTGAATATATTTGCAATTGTTTTCACTCCAAACCCAGATCTCTTTCCATTTTCAAAATCATACAGTTTAAACTCCGAGTGAATCCACTGTTTGCCTTTGACTGGAAACCCTACAGTGTGATTTATTATTTAACTATGCCGCACAAGAAAGTCACCAGCTCAATGCGAGTCGATTTCAATCAAATAGGTTAAGATAACAAAAGTACTCAGTAAATGAGTTACTGGGTGAAAGCGAAGACCGTGGCAGAATAAGTCTAAAATGATCTTCTCTTTCACTCTGAAAAAAGAGTTGTGCGCTAATCAAGGGAGAGAATACAGAGAATGCACCAAGCCGATGGGAATTAGCCTCGATCGGTCAAAAATCCCAGTCGTGATAGAATGGACAGATAGGGTTTGACCAAACGAAATAAAACTGGTCGACACTGGACGGTCACTCAACAGGATAGTCAATGAAATTTCAATCATAACGCCTTACCTCTTCCACGGTTACCACTTATATTGAATCAAATAGACTGAAAATGTTTACGTTCCGTTTGACCTGATTACTTAATGATACGAATGGCAATTATGAAACCAATGGACCTTTTATTTCTCTCTCATTTAGGCAATACTCGAAATCCTTCAGCGGCACGGAGGTGTGTGTAGTTGTACATAAACTTTCGAGTAGTTTGTGTAGGTCGTTTCCATTTGAACACATCTTTGACTATCAGAATTGGTCTCACAGACCAGGAACAGATCATGGCGATTGGAGGATTAGGGAAGGTAAGTGAAGTGAACTAATTTTTTACATTTTGAATGGAGTTCTTTCCCTTCTTTTCAACGATCTAACAATGCAATCACGAGCTTCAGGGTGAAGCTAGTTTCCCGATAAATTCTAGGATATTATTCGATCCGGTCTGTTTACGTAAATAACAACGACGTGTGTCTGGAAATGCGTGAAAGGTGAAGTTGGGTAACTAAACTGAAGTCCCAGGAGACTCAAACGGCTCTATAGAACGAGGAAGGTATGCCAGACATCGAATTCACTCGGGTGGGTGAATGCTGTGAACTTCTGAGGAGTAGATCACTGACAAAAGAAAAGTGGTCGAGAATGCCTGATTGAGCTGAACAGTAATCACGTCTGATAAAACTGACCAAATCAACATTTTGAACGGTTCATAGTGTACCTCCAAAATGGGCAATGTAATTAATGGTGTCCGAAAATTAAAGAGGATGGGAAAGAGGACAATGGTGGAATTAAATTGATCACTTTGAAAAATGGGTCCGCTGTTTGAAACAAAGAAGTCTGATGCACACGAACTCATGCAAGCCTAGGCCATTCATCGTGATTCATCACAGGAACGGAGTACTTCTCAGTCCAATACTAAACACCCTGGAATTCACTAAATGTGCGACAGCCAATGGGTGTGCTTTGATTTGGCACAGATTTTGACAAGCAACATAGGGATCAGAAGGGAGTGAAACTAGCCATTGAAATGCGCAAGTATCAGCTGGCAACCAAGAGACACAAATTGCCCATTCTTCGATTTATGAGCGACAAACTAAACTTTCAGATCCTTGAAACTATCGATCGGAAGTGCAAGCAACAACCACGAGAAACTACTGAAGCATAGTATTCATAAAAAACTCTGTCAAACGACAGATCGAAATCAAGCAGATTCAAGCTCCTGTGTAAAGCAACGACCAGCGGTAATCGAATCAATTCGCCATCGGACAACCGGTGACACTGGGTCGATTACCAACTGACTGACCGATGCCGGATGCAGAACTGATACCCAAGTTACTCAATGCGAACTATATTAAAAATCAGCGTTGTTTATGCATCGGGTAATGACCAAATTTATTTTAAAGCCCGAGATCAACAGAAGGGAGATGAAAATTGGTCCCATGTCTAGCCACTTGGGTGCAACACAAACAAGAGCAAAACGAATTTTATAAGGCACAAGCTCTGCAAGCTGAGCTACGACTTCATACCTCTAGTGCCGATCTTTCCTAGTTTGGATTGTTCACCCAAACTCACAGGGATACGTGGACTCCACCATATAGCAGCGTATAAACTGACCGCTACGATAGGTTTTTCTGAAAATCCACCAGTGCCGTGCTTGGTGTTACACATCATCCGGATGTCAATGTTAAGATGCCTGATTGAATTCACGTTGTTTTTAATTTAGTTATATCATCCACAACCCATTCGGTTTTAAACCGTTTAAGTCACACTGTTTTCTCTCCCCCTCTTTCCCCGTGTGTGTGTGTTTCACATGTGACTAACTGGGCACCCAATGTTTAACCTCTGTTCGCAGGTCGAAATTCGATTAACACTACCAGGAGTTGAATTCCAAGATGTTTTTACCGTTCCTAGAGAGAGAGAGAGAGCCAAGACAAGAGAGCTTTTTATTAGTTTATTTTGATATCGGCATACATAGCCATCGAGACATAACAGGCAAAATCGTTTTAATCGCGGTCAAAAACGCAGTAAGAGTCCATGTATACAAGAAAGTCTTATCTACCGGTATCGTGAGGTGGTACTTACATTTGAGATTAGTGTCTTTTGCGCGGGTGCGCGCGTAAAAATATGTGATCGGTGGATTTTCCCGGTAGGTGGGAGTGGATTATTCCTGAACCCAAGAATAAAAAGATTTGAATAGAGAAGCCAGGTCATCTACAACACAACAAACACAAAGTTACTGAAATTTGCCGAGGCTCTAGCCATTCGTATCCTCAAACCCGATCTATGCAAACAACGTGAATGGTTAGTCACTTTAGCTTTGCCTTGGTGATTACCCCCACCCTCTCTCGTTCTTTGTGTTACTGTGTCGTGCGTTGTGCGTTGTGATTGGCAATCATGTCTTCATTTCACGGTAGTTATCTCACTGACTATATAAAATGACTTTGACTGCAGTATGCACGTGTACAAATGCAGCGAAATGACCATGGATACATTGTGCAAACACATGTTTCTGACTTCTCTATTCAAATTTGTGACGGGAAATCCTTGCTTCCAATAAAAAGATTGTTGAGCTGCATGACCACGAATAAAGAGCCTTTAATGGAACTGATGATCAACTGTTGTAGATTACTGTTTGGTTCTATACAATCTTATTTATCCATGATGATCTATAAATAAACTACTACTACCCTGCGGAATCAATATATTAATAATTCAACGACGTTTAATGTTGTTTATGAAACCACAAACAAGATAAGATGTCCCGCAATTTTTTAGCACAGATTTGCAATACGGAATAATCCAGTGGCTAGAAAACTTCGACGAAACAGGATTTACATGCTAATAAGTCGATGCTGATATCTGACAAACTGGAAACGTGAAACAAGCTTCAGCAGGTCAGGACCGACAAGGGAATTTCGGACACAGTGTTGGTCCATATGAGGTCATGACCTGCTGACCGAAGAACATCACAAAAGGTCAGAAAAAATGTATTGTGACTTGAAGGGGGGGGATACTGCCGAACAAAAGTTATTATCTCATAGGGGGAGCTCGTCGTGTATAGAGCACATGAAGGTCAACTGAAAACTCGCATTCTGCCTGTGAGGTCCCTGGTCCGATCCCCATTTGGGTTGATGAATTCGCACTGCACTAATGGGAACCAGCCAGGTTGAAACAGCTGTCCAGAGCTTCCTAGCTTTTCAGTTCACGCTTCATTTGCTCTATACATGACGAGTTCCCTCTATGGAATTGAGTCGAATTCTCCCATACTCTGGCGCAAAATTATTACCACTGTCCGATAACAGGGAAATAGAAGCACTATTCTTAATACATAGACCGCTTCATCTTGGAGCAATAATGTATATATTCAATGACCATTGTCGAAGACTTTCATAGGTGATTATCAAGTACCCCATTTGACTAAATCCGCCCACTGGCTTTTATTTATTCTATATATTTTCAGATCAGAAAGAGGAACTCTTCAGGCTAACAACCCATCCGCACTGATGTATCAGAGTGAGTAACATGTTTTACGATGCAAACCGGACTGATGAGGAATAAGAATAGGAATTATTGTAACATCAACACCCTTAAACAGCCGACGGATCTGGTGAAGCCGTCAACAGTCCTTTTCCTAACTGTATCCACAAATATGTTGTTGGGAAAAATCGTTTCTCGGACGCTGTAGAAGAGGATAAGCCGAAAAATCGCAGCTAATTTCTTAGACTAGTAAGAGGAGAAGGTTCAAAAAGAGATAGGCTATACACAATATATAATATACAATTTTTCAAAAGAATGCCCTCCTGTAAGTAAAGAATTTGTGTAACTGTTCAAAAATAGATACTCGAGAAAAACATGTAAATAATAGCAGTTGTTTCTTGTTTTTGGTTTCAACAGTGCATTTGGGCATCCAGTCACTCGCCGGGCTTAGTAATTCGGCAGCATCACTCATGGAACCGACCCATTCGTTCTAGGTGTTCAAATCTAACAACAAATCACCTCAGTCAGTGAATAAGCACCTACCAATTTTGCTACACCTGAATATAAAGGTGGAACCATTAGTTTCCATTACATACCATACACTCTGTCTACCAATCTATCAATTCTCCGCGGAAATAGACTGAATTTAGCTATAGACTTCAAACTGGTAAAACGATGTGATTGGCTCCATTGAAAAAAACTAGCAACCACAACTGGGTCAATCATACAGTCACATTGTTCACCAACCAGTCAGCTATGACACATAGCTTCAATGTGACAGATAGTGGCCAGTTATAGATGATAGGAAAGACCGGAATGTATGCACTGTTCAAAGTTGACTTCTCGTAGCCAGGTATGCCGAGCAACCTGATTATTGAATTTTCGCCGGAGGAAAAATTAACTGTCGTTTGCCTGGGTCCGGAGAATGCAAACGGGCACATTCCAAGTTCAAATCTAACGGCAAGTTTGATGTTATTTCTTGGATTTGATCGGGAGAGAAAGGACAATTATACGTATCAGTCTACGCAAACGATGGACAGATTTTTTGATTTGTACGGAAATTAAAATACGAGTAGAAGTATACTCAAGATGAAGTGAGAATGAAGTTATATGAAAATATTATCTCGATTAGATCAGAATAAATTTGTAAGTAGCCACCGTATTTCCTATTCAGGGGAACAGATGATTGCAATAGTGGTCAAAAGAAGCCATAAAGAATGACTCGAAAACCATTTGACATGAGTGGTTTTATTTCGAAACAGCTACATTGCAACGACTAGAGCCCCGTAAAGTAACTTAAACGATGCAAGGTATTCACATATATTTACACATATTTTTACAATGATTATAAAACAGTTACCCCTGGCACTGATCGCGTCAAGCATCGTCACAAAAACGGACACACAAATCACTCAACAGTGTAGCAGGTGATCACGATACCCCAAAAAGCCACATGAATAATTGAAGTCGATCAAAAGCAATATAAAATATTCACACCCAAACTGGCACACTCAGTATTTTGATAAAACGAAGCCCGGGAGACTTTATAATCTTGTGAAGTAGTTTAGGATGTAGCCTGAAAAAGACTTATGTTAATATGGCAGAGCAAACATCATGCATAATAAAGAGATCGATCCTTCCCTAACCGTGGCGTTTACTGTTGAAATCGATTAGTTTTTGATTTTGCACCTGCCCTTGACAATTAGACGATCAAACTCTGCGGTTGTTAGAAACAGATTCGAACACTACTGTTTGACAGGCTTTGTTTTACAACGATTTGGCCAAAATGACCCCTAGAGTTTCCGATTGAGACGCATTGGCAAATGAAAGTAAAGGATCAGATAGACGAGTTCCAAATGAGGAACAGGCTTAATGACGGCAGAAAAGAGACAGAGAACAAATTGCATAACGATGACCACTTATCTTGAATGTACGTGTTTGGGATCAATCGTCAGCAAGACAAATGGTTAGCCATTAAAAGCGGTCAAACGTATTTGAGCTTTGAAAAGTGCAAGCGGGTAATGTACAGGAATATATATCTCTATACGCTTGCAAAATATCGGATTGTATTACACATTTTTATCGTTTCCACCCTTCAATTTTGGTACGTGATAGAAGATAAAAATGTTTGCCGTAACATCCTCATCAATGATGGTCATTTGGAAATGGAAGAGTAATCTAGAAAAAACTTGAACTTGGAAAATGTTACTCTCTTTGCATTCGATAACCTTTTTTAAACGAGCCCCGTTTGGTATCGAAAATAATTCCAATAGGAGATTCAATGTGTTGTTTTGAGTGGGCCTAATGCCAAAGATATCCATTTCAACTGCCTTTCAACTGCCTCCCATTTGTGCATCAGAATCCGGCCTCAGTTGAAACTGGCTCTTCCGAATCTGTCGAGGTGCGTATCAACGCCGGAGCCCGTTCCACGTTCAAAAGTAACCTGGGGTTGATTATTTCTTGCCTGGGTAGTGCTGTGGGTACCGGTAATATTTGGCGGTTCCCTCGTATATTGGCTTCACACAGTTCATCAAGAGGTACGTTCACGGGGGATTTGTTTGCTTTTTATTCATGCCGCTACGCGGTAGCACCAGACAGTGATCTCTTGGGAGTGGGCATCCCGGGAACTCGACAGGATTGTTGTGTACAGTCCCGCACAGATTTCGTGGATTTATCACACCCGTATTCCACCTCATTTAGGGAATGGTTGAAAAGGTAATGTTATTTTCCATTTCTAGTCCAATTGGGCTCTACTTAAAAGGGTACCAGTGGATTACACTCGTTTCAATAAACTCTTATCGGTAATGTATTATAAGGTAAAGACCTAAACGAAGAGTTATATCGGTGATTGATTCCTTGGGTAAGAATGATTTATTATTTGATCGATACAATAATCAGAGATTCTACAATTTATTATTTTTGAAAGCGTATAACGCATTCGTATTTGCTATTCATGAACAGGGTACACACAATGTAGAAAATACACAGTATGGTCTCAGGTAAGACAAATTCAAGCCTTGTTGCGAACGGTATTTATTCTACTAGTGTGACTGTATGTAGAAAACCGAGTAGGGAAACACGTGTATTTTATTATAGACGGTCTAACTTGGGTCGGCTTGAAACAGAGTTACCTGACCGGTGGACGGACACGAGTGTGCGCCTGCTGGCATTTAATCGATCTAGTGGTAATTGGAAGTTCAATCAAATGGGGATCCTCGGTAGTGAGATATCAAATTCCACTATGACAGACCTTCGCATCCTAAGAGAAAGTTACTCCATTTTGAATCATTTCCTTTTGGCTGTTTAGAGAGGAAGCTTTAGCAAAGATTCGTCTGTATTGAATTGTGAATTGATTTGTCCCCTCAGACCGTGGTTAAAGTACCTTGTGCGATAAAGCTCATCCAATATTTGGATGGCCATGAAAGTGCTCAGTTATGAGGTGTAATCACATTGACATTTACATTTAAGGTAAATTAGAAAAGATCACGCTGAGTTTTACAATAAACGGATGAGTTCACTGCAGTAGATCTAGTCATTGCATTTTCTCCATGACAGTTTCAAAACATGGCGTCTAAGAGACGCTGAAATCATTCAACTCTGAGCGCCACTTGCTAAATTTCAATACTTGCAACAAAGCCGACAAAATAGTAACTTTCTGCACTTTGTCCTGTACAGAAGATCAAAGAGAAGAAGGATTCGTCGATCAAAGATGTAGCTATCTCTCGTGAAATACAACTGCGAAGTATAGCATTTGGACACCAGAAATTATCGACGGCAACATTAGAGAAACTGCTTGAGTTTGTCCGCCAACTACTGCAGGTTTGTGCGGAAGAAACAATTCTGTCGTGCACATAATGAAGAATTATTCATGGGAATTCTGGTTTAAATGAAGTTCAGTCACCAGGAGAACTGTTCATTCAACATTTTCAGCAGTCCAACACATATCGGTAATCTTCTTACATCACCAGGGGATTGCAAAACTCATTTGAAACCACACAGATTGTCTACGGAGCCATAAAGAAACCTATTATATGTTTAAAGGGGTTTCATACGTCTATAATTTCAACCGGTTCATTGGTTCATTGGACGGAAAACATTTAATTACCCAACTGAAAGAGGCGTGGTTAGTCAACGTATTTAGTTTCTCCTTTTCATTAGATTCATGGTAATGCACAAATTGTATACCCTTCTAATCCCCCTCTCATCCCTCATTCCCCACGGCTCCGCTTTTTCAGGTTCATTGGCATTTTATATTGCTTGGGTCATTCTCCTGTTTTGCTGGTCCATTCCCGTCATTTTACTCGAATATGCACTTGGTCGTTTCACGCGAAATTCCGTACCAGTGGCATTTAAAAAATTCCTGGGCAATTATTCGATTTGGATCGGAGGCTGGTTGGTTACTTCGGTATTCTTCCTCAGGTAAGTAAATAAGTGTGCATCCATTTATTTAATCTATCCTGACCTTGTTGAGATGAAGTTCAAAGTTCAAAGTTTTATTATGGGCATTATTTACAAGTACATGCTTTCCTTTTCCCATAGGGTGTTTACACGAGTTGAATTGTAACAATTATGGACAAAATTCCATATGTTGTATTCGGTTGTGTTATGTGTGCTCATGGATGTTGTAATGCAATATGTGTTAATGATTCCTCAAGTTTTACCTTGAAAGAATCAATCGTCTTGGCACAAACGACGTGAGATGGTAAGGAATTCCGGGCAGTGCACACTCTGACGGCGATAGAATGATGTCGACAGTTCAGTCGAGATTTTTGGAGTAGTAACTTGAATGGATGCCCCCTTAGAGGAACATTTGACGACAACGTCAAAAGTCGGCGACAATGGTGGTTTGAGGGGTGCAATATTTGGTACACTAAACTTAAGTATCCTCGAATCCGACGACACTGAGTAGAGTATAGACCCAATAACTGAAGTCTTCCCATGAATCATAATAGAGTCCTTTGACCACCTTCGTGGCGAGCCTTTGTGAACGCTCCAAAATCTTATGATCACGTTGTCACCATGGATTCCAAGTTTGGATGGCATACTCAATATGCGTCCGGAAGTATGCTGACACCATAAAGAATAAAGATGGTTCAAAACACGTTTAAGTAGACCGACATATTTGAGTGCTGTTGATGACACCCTGGCACAGTTAATAGAACAGCTCAGATCTTCGTGGACTATCACACCCAATTCCTTCTCTGTTGATGCATGAGGCAGTAATTCGTTTCCGAGGAAATAAGGAAACCGTCCATAGTGGTGTAGCGGAATCATCTTGCATTTGGAGACGTTAAATTGGATGCCATTCTCAATAGGCTATATGTGAGCTGTATTCGGTGTTTCTTGGAGTTCCAGCGAAACCCCGCTCTCTGTCAATGTCTTCTAGATTTTGATGTCGTCTGCAAACAGTAATGCTTGTGGTCTCAGGACATTTGGTAGGTCGTTAATGAACAAGAGAAAAAGTAGCGGACCAAGCACAAAACCCTGGGGGACTCCGCGAGAAACGGCGATAGGGGCGGACAGTGAATTAGAGACTCGAACCGACATGGTCCGTTGTTGGAGAAGCGCAGCGATCCAATCAAGCGCGAGATACCAAAATGGTATCGTTTTTTGGAGCAGTATTTCGTGGTTCATCCGATCGAACGCTTTGGAGAAGTCCAGGTAAACCACATCAACTGCATCGCCTTTATCTACTGCCTTTGTTCATTCATCGCGGGCCAGGAGCAGATTGGTAGTACACGATCTCTTATGACGGAATCCATACCGAGCTGGAGAAAGGAGGTTGTGTTTCTCTAAGTGTTTCATCAACAAATCCACTACGATGGATTCCATGACTTTGTATAGAACCGAGTCAGATATGCAATTTAGCTTAGACAGCGGGATCATTGACTACTATCGGTTAAAAAGCCCGGTACTGCTTCAGTCAAATCATCACTAATGGTTCAAATGTCTGTATTTTGGTGTTGTTAGTTCAGTGATAATGCCAAAATGAACATTCAACTAGTCACCAAAGGGCTAAAATCCTCGGAGTAATAACCCTTCGTGCCAGAGTTCGAACCCAGGTGAACTCCAATAATGATTCCTAACAAGCATGAAGGGAACAGTTGTACTCAGAGTTTCCGGTGTTTTCCAGTGTTAAGTGACACAGGAACTCGGTTTGGCTAGTATACCATATTTTACTGGGTACATCGTACAGTAATCTTCCCAAGACAGATACAGATTTGTTTTGTACCAAGAAAATAACTGTCTTGTATTGATCATTATTGGAAACAGATATCTTTGGATTGGAATCCCCAACCCCTATAACTGCTCTAAGCAATCGATGCCTAATGCCATGAGCACATCGCTGTGGTAATCCACTATACTGGTTGTTGTTTTATATCGTTCAAATTTTACGAAAACTAGGTTTTGTGCAATAACCTCTATGTGCGCGGGGGGTTTTACTCCTCACTAAAACACGAATGCTCAAAATTAGTTGTAACTGCACCTTTGGAAAATTCGGAGGGCAAACAGGGTTAAAAACAGAGTGAATTACACGCATTTAGTATGAAGGACAGGTGCTTCTGTAAAATAGAAGAAGAAGGAGACTGGTTCATCCGGTTGAGTGCATGCATATTGTGCCTACGGACAGGAGTTTCCCCTAATGGTTTGAAGCGGATAAACGAGCACTGACCATCCAATCACCGTTTCATTTACGATAACAAAGAGATGGGAAGCAGACAGTGAGTAAAGTTGCAAAAATGAACTCTTTGTGTCTTTTGGGAATATAATGTACAGTTCAGTTCCATCTGGCCTGCAGGGGACATGGGAAATACCGAAGAGTTGGGGTAGCATTCAACAGTGGTGTTTGATTCTTGTCAGAATTAGTCAACGCTACATAATCTCGGCACCTCTAACAACTGGAGTGGACATGTATGGTTACCCATAGCTTCTCACATGCTGCCACCATTCGGGTTGAGCTAGATCAGTGGGAGTTGGCGAAACTTCTATCTGCTCTGTTTGAAACATGAGTGAGTGATTATGTGCCGTTATTTAGTCGGAGTTCCGCTAGCAAGCAGTCAACCTCTTATCAATTTTTACTTTTATTTTTCCGCTTTGCAAGATAACGTGGAATTCTTTCAGACATGATCCATGTACGTTATGTGACAGATACTACCTTTTAACTGTTTATCCATACCCGAGCGTAGAAGATATATTTGTTCGCCATGACTTCATGGTTGTAGGATATGTTTAGAAAAATGGTATAGGTCAACGCAAAAATGCTTCTCGTTCGACCTCGGTCAATGGAATATTACAAAAGAAAACAGACGCGCGGCGACTTCCGTGCCTGGAATGTGTTGCTAATTCGCATACTGTTTCGTTCATTGGATTGTGATCAGAAGACACGTGTGCACGGTGTGAGCAGTAAATTGGAAACAAGTGTTGTAATCCACACACTAAATTGAGCACGTTGTCGACAGATATGCAGACAGACTCCGTGTGCTGGTGTGCTCGCTGGTTTAAAAAATGCGGGGGAAATAAAAGAACTAGTTTAAACAATTTTAGTAAAACTTTTATCATTCTTGAAGCTACTGTGTGTTCGCTCGATGTTGATTCCCAATGGCAACTGAAAAGGGAGTACGAAATATCCAGATCGTTTTAACTGTTTCCTCTCTGTTAGGACTTGTCATTGATGATAGCATTGTTTTTACTTTTGAGGTACACGATCGACAGGGTACACCCTGCGCTGATGGTTACAGCAAATTAGAATGTCAGGTTTTCAATTAACTCGTTTGATGACTACCGGTACTGTTTTTATTCCCTTCACTGGGTAACTCCTTTGCGATTCCCAGTGGGTACTCCAAAATTACGAGCTGCTTTCAATCATCATACAAATATGTGGCTGCATTTGAAGTACATTTCACTGTGTGTGTGAAGAGTGAACACTGGTGAAATGAAATACACAACCATAACGTCACGACACCAAGCACAGCGGGTAGTGTGATTTCATGGGTTTATCCAGACTGTTGTTTCTGGACACTCCGTCTAACGGAAGATCAAATTAACATCAGACTGTGTTCATTCTTTCAACATTCATTTTATGTTGCAAACAACAACATATAGGGTTATTTCTAACAGTTCAACCGCAATAGTCAAATCTGAGTAAACATTTGTCAAAATTGTGTTCAAATTTCAGTGCCTATTATCCTGTAATTATCGGATGGTGTTTTTACTATCTGTACATGTCGGTTTCTGTGAAGGAACTGCCAAAAACTGAAGAGGCCGGACTAGCTTTGTTCAATGAATTCGCACGAGTAAGTGAATTATCCATTCCGAAGGTGATTTGTCTTGAGGAATTAAGGTTTACTNTTTACTCATTTGGACTGACCATTCTTCAGACCTCACCGACACGCAAAATCCAAAGTTTTTCTATTCAGCCACACTCTCGAAAGCACTAGACTCAAGTTTCGTTTTTATCGGAGCTCGTCACTAGTGTAGATCCACCGTTCCGTCCAGAATCTGAACTCCGAGCCCACTGAATATGGAAGGTGTGNNNCGAAATACCAATGCGTGCCCACTCCCGGACGGGACGGTGGATCTACACTAGTGACGAGCTCCGACAAAAACGAAACTTGAGTCTATAGTGCTTCCGAGTGTATAGGTGACCGGAAGTGCCGCGGATTGTGTATGAAGGTAAAATCTGAAGGATATACAGTTCCAATCAGTATCGATTATCCCCTTCCATTACTCACGGGCAACTATGAGTCAGATGTGATTTACTGTTTATTTGTGTTAGTACAATGCATCTTTACTCAGAAGTTGCACTCGAATTTGCGGGAATAGTTCGTTGCTTATTTTCGTAAATTAGAACTTGATTCCTGCTCATCCTAGGAGTGATTTTTTTTGGCTGATTGCAGCCGCACTCGCACTTGTCCGAATTGGTTCTTCACTGAGCCACGCCTCTTTGCTCCGCAGGTGAAATTCCAAAGCTAGAAAACGAATTATGGGCTAAGATTTGATTAGGAAATTTCTGTCTAATTCAATTCTATGGATGAACACCAACCCGAAAAGTAACAACAACAGCAACGAAGGAACTTGTTTTCCGCGAATCCTCACAGTATTTATCATAATTATTGTTTGGATAAAGATTCGGTAACAGATTGAGAGACAAATTACATTTCATTTCCAAGACCGGATGTTGCCCCGATTTCGGTTATCACACCGATGCACTAGTTGGGGTCATTAGGGAAGATGAGAGGTAGACTGTGTGGTGTGTGTAACGACGAGTACGGAAGATTGAGTATTTTTACGAATTGGCTGCATGAGCAGACATTTACGTGAATGAGTCCGCGATAATCACCCAGGTCGACTGAATAGTGAAGTGATTAGGGCCATCAAAGTTCAATCGTTTCACACCTAGTGAAGTTACATCATATGATTATGTGACCCAGGTGTTTCGCTCTCACGATTTGGTTCACAGCCGTCGATCTAAGATTAATGAATAGATGTCACATTTTGGCCACGATAGGAATCCATCCAAATCTACCCACCCAAATCATTAAAACACCTCGAAGAGAACTCGGTCTTCCATGGCCATCACTACACATAAAAAGTCACCCGCTCCGTCTCTCGTGATAGTCAGAAGCAAGCATATGCGAGCACCAAGGAGTGGGAAACTTTCGGTTAATGAACTGAAATGTGATTTTTTCCCAGTTCGCAATGGATCCTTATACCACCGAATACTATGATATACAATGAAATGCATTAGTCAACAAAGAAATCACCGAAAACGAGCATTTGACTATTGCACGAGAGAAATGGAGGATTTGATTCAAGTTCATATGAATAATTCTCCGTGTATGGAACTAAAGTAAGAAGGTTATGAAAGTTTCCAGCCAAGTTATCCCCCCTGAGGCTAGTGCTGAGATTTACACGGAGCGATATCCACAAGAAGCTCTCAAAGATGGGTTGTGTAATATCGTTTATTAAAATTATGATAAACTTTCTGATCAGCTGCCCAGCGACCTAGTTGTCAGGATAGTTGCGTTCTGCCTGTGATGTCCCGGGTTCGATCTCCAGTTGGGTCGATAGACTACCACTGCGCTGATGAGACCCGACTAGGTCGGTACAACTGTCTAGTATTCCTTAGGCTTTCAATTCACGCCGTATTTTATCTATGCACAACGAACAATTTGTATGCTTTTGACTATTTGTGTTCATGGAATGTGGGATGATGGCATATATCATATTTGTTTGATGCTTACCGATGTGCTTCCATACTGTTCCGTAGTTGAGCTATTGTCTCAAATAGTCCTCACTGAGCACGTTTCTAAATTGAACATTCCATTCACCTAAAATTGTATTCAGAATCCGTACCTACCAGTCTTGCTGCAAATCTTGGCCGTATTGATTACTGGGATCCTTTTGTTCGGGGGAATTCGATGGATTGAATATGCCAACATGGTTCTCGTCCCACTACTCTTGTGCATCGTGATTTTCACTTTTGGTTGGTCATTGACGCGACAATATGCTGAAGTTGGGATCGCCTTTCTTTTCACACCCACTTGGAGTGAGCTATGCGATAATTTAAGCATTTCCAATTTCCCTAACAATGTGTACAGGTATTTATTCATAATTGATTTGCAGTTAAAAATGTGTACATAAAAACGAACTGAAAATTTGATTTAGCGGAAGGCGTTAGATTGAACTTGACTGGTTACAATCTGTCTTCCTTCACAGATCTTGATTGACCAATGGACTGACTACTTTTAAACATGACATCTCAGCAAGCTGAGATTTGATGGTTCTTGTCAGTTTTTAGTTGAACTGAATAGTGCAGTGATAACAAACAGGCATTACACGCGAGACATTCTGGGTTCAATTTCGGAATGGATTTTTGAGTACAGATTGAACATACAGGTCTAATCGAAACTGAAGCAACGGGTCCCTGTGAAACACTTGTGGGTTCGTATAGGCAACAGCATTTATACTAGAGTAAGCCTTTTTTTCAAATAATAATAAACAAGCCTTGGTGGTGCATCAAAATCTGCCAGTACTGCAAACGCTCCGGGGAGCGGAAGTCAAAGTCAGTACATTTTCAGCTTATAGTTGACTGGAATAACGGAGGACTGTGCGTGCAGCTGAAAGCTGAAGGATGGACAATAATGATCAAGCATTTGAATAGTCTTCTAACGGACTGTCTTCATCCACGAATCTCCGAAATTCCAGACTTGGATAAAATACGAGTTCTGCTTAACTGAGTCCCACAAACTACTTGCAGTTCTTAAGCTGATTTTAGTAGTATACTTATTGATATATTTCTAGGTATTTAATTAAGTCAGCTTCCAAATCGCTTATAAATGCTGCAATGATGGTATTACGGCCCCGTTGCAAGTGCTTGTACAGGAAAAATCCTTACCGTGTTTGTGAGTCTAGTCTGGAACCACAGAAAATATAGGATGGGACAATTCATTGTTGCATTGTAACCTAGAACTCCGTCCTTAAGCCGTGAAAATGTATTGCACCCTGAGGACTCAGCACACCAGAAAGTGGGTAGCCAGACATCTAAACCAGGAATTGTGCGGTGTCACAGGTAGGGACATCGTGTGGTCATACGAAAATGATTCGCACAACGATATTGTTACGATTCATGATGTGTACGTGGAAAAACGCTGCTCATTTTTTCTTGACATCAGAATCTTGGTGTGGCTTGTGCGCAACATAGAATTGGAGCTCTTGGAAAATGTTCAGTTCTATCTTACTAAACGAGTGCATCAAAATGGAATCAAGATACGCACACCACACACTAACATCTGAAGACATTCCCAAGCTGAATGATGGATTAATGTCGACAAACACTTTACTCTCAATCTCATCCAGAGTATGCAGACGTGTGCGGACGTAGTCAGTTCGTGTTGACAAATTAATCGAGCAATGAGGTGGTTTAATTTCACAGTGGAGATGGGTGTTATTCTATATCTCCCCGTTAAAATAAGTGAAAACTTGATGGGTTGTCTAAAGACTATCAAAATGACTAATGGCTGTGCACGCCGGTATTTATATATATATATATATTCAACAAGTAACCAATTACATAGAAGTGGCACATCTGCCAAAGTATGTGAATGAAAGACCTGTAGAATGTGGTCACAGGTTGTTTTGGTATGTTACTTTCCGATAACCCTGGCCGAGGAAGGCGTCTAACCTCGGAGTCCCAACTCGAAGTCTTTGGTCAGAAGGCCAGACCTGCAGGACTGCAAGACGGAGTTTAGAGTCCGCAGTCCATTAGGGGTTGGTGTCCAGTTCATCGGATCATACACCCCTTGGACGGGGTCAAACGCCCAAAGTGCCCAACACACGTCGATACCCAATCAAACCGTTAACTATTGCCAAAGAAAGGTATGGGTGTTTGTGGTGCCAATGGCTAATCTTGGTTGGTTTAGAATCAGGGATTTTATCCAGCTCCACTAGGTGAATTACCAGTGGTTCACCAGAGATTGATCAGAGAAATTGGATTTTCATCCTCTCACTGTGATGAAAACACAACTCGGCCACAAGATGGCACTGAGTGGGGCTTCTTCAGCAGAGACTGTTTGAGATGTTAAGTCAACTTGGAGCATTTTGTGAGATGTAAGGGAACGGTAATCAGTCACAAGCGTAGACACCCCTGACTATAATGAGACTTTTGGAGGTGATAGAAGTAAACCAAAAGCTAAAAGGTGGGGCTGGTAGCGGTATTTTTGTCCCGGAGGATAAATCTATATTTATGAAATCATGCACAAAGGAAAGATGAACTCAATACCCCCCTCCCACGCAACTTCAACTCCTGCTGCCTCACTGTTTTACCTTATGGTACTGACCTAGTTCATTTCATGCGCCCTTCGATCCAGGCAGTTTGGCTGACAGTAGTTTGTGGATTGCCGCAGCCAGTCAGAACGCGTTTGATACGGGGGCCGGAATGGCACTGCTTATGACGTACGCGATGTACGTCGGTCATGAGGCGAAAATTGTACACTACAGCACATTCATACCGATAACAAACAACCTTGTGAGGTGAGCAACGTTTCTTCTGTACTAAATTGTTTTGGAATTACTTTACACATCAGAAAACAATCATTGCTGTTTGCTGGTGATACGTGACTGTTAGTTTTAAGGGGATTGTTTGGAGTTAAAAGCACTCCAAACTAAGTATTTTTCTGTGTACGAACCCATTCTCCGAGTTAGAACAAACAAGTCAAATGTGTGACTATTCGATAATCGTTATTATTTAGTTACAAGGTTTTACACCTCAGTAGTCTATCTTTATCACAACTCGTCAAAAAACTAACTTAAACAATTACTCATTAGTCTGTAATATGAAGGGACTCTAGACATGGAAAAAACGTGTAGTCTACAGCCGCGATGGGGGTAAAATCATATCGAAAATTTTTGGAATTCTGTATAGTTGTGGTGCAGTTAATCATGGATCGAAATATGAGAGAAATCATCGGATACGCCTCAGAAAGGCGGGTCGGTTATAATCACGTGGGTAAAGGTTAGATTGATAATACTCAGACAGAGAGAGTACAAAATGAATTTATAATAATATGCGTAGTTATATATATGTAACAGAATGATATTATTTAAAAATCGCTTCTTTTCGCAAAGTTGAATTTCATGGTAAAAATATATTTAGCCTAGAACCATTGCTATGACCTTAAGAAATGTGTGATGCATTGTCGATAAATAAAAATGCCTATACATTTCGCGATGTCGATATCTTGTGAAAGGTGTGGTGCAAAATACCTTGGTATTAGTAAGGTAAGCTATATTCATGCACTATTTAGAGAATGCACAAGTTAAGCCCTGGGTAAGGAAAGCAGAGTAAAATACGGTCCGTATGCACCTGTTCGAGGAGGTGCACGGACCAAGAACGGAGGACAACATATTCAGAGAAGTTGATATCGATTGAAATCTTATATTTTCCGAGCACAGAGCACGTACTCGGAGTAGTGCGAAACAGGACTCGGTGGGATGCGGAGTAAACTGTAAAACACTTTGCTGGATAATTTTGAGAGAGAAAATTATTAGTTTCGTTATTCGCCTGAGTAGCTGGAGAACGGGAAGTGATTGGACGTAACTAACCAGATACATTACACGAGACTAATGCTAAGAAAGTTCAGTTGGGAGGAATCAGCCTAATAATTCGGCTTCTCATGTTTTCTCTGTTTTTCTAAATATTCTTGCAGTAGCCAGTAGGCTCTTCAGGAGCAATTAAATTCAGATGTCACAAACTCAATCTCTGTAAGCAGATTCATTTATTGTCCGAATCCAAGTACCGTAAGCGGACTGTGATGTTATTCTAAACTGCGGCTAAAATTCCGACCCCAGTTCCGTTCTACGGGACATTCGGCGTTCGTTTGTGCTTTTGTCTTGCTCGTATGTGCTCAGTGGTCTTTCTCAAAATCGATGCTCATACAAACCAATTCGATGTGCACGTATGTAAGTGGTTGAACAGGTCAACTCGAAATAACCTTATTCAACACAAATCGTGACATGAAGAAAATGAAGGACTTGGTTTGTTCATATGGTGAATTTCGTCACGTAGAAACAAATGAAATGTGAACTGGAGAACTGGTCAGCAATATACAGCTGTTTCGACCCAATTGGGTCTCATCAGGACAAGGTGACTTCATCGGCCCAACTGGGTTTCGAAGCCGGGACCTCAAAGGTAGAACGAAAGCTTACTACCCTCTCAGTCACCGGGCAGCTGATCAGACCGCTGTCCTCTTTCCTTGTACACAATATAGCAAACTCGGGTTGTTTCCGTCCGTGGAAACTAGTGCTGAGATGCGATCAAGGTGTGATTCCTGCACTAGGCTTTCAAAGACTGATTGTGCTATACCGTGTACATTCAAAATGAGAAACAGTTTGATTGGCTGTGAGGTTCCGGGTTCGATCCCCAGTTGGGTCGATAGATTCGCACTGTTGATAATACCCAACCCGGTTAATACGACTGTCTGGTGCTTTCAAACTTCGTACCTCACGTTTCATCTGTTTTTTACCCGACAAAATTCACCTTACAAACAAAATGTGACCTGTATGCCTTTTACTGCAGTTGTAAAACTGTAGAGGATAACCTATCGCCTGAACTTTTGCGTTCTAATGAAAAAAACACCGATATGTCAGGAGACTATACGCAATGGGGTAAGAAAGCAGTCAGACGATGTTTGTTCTCGATAATACTTTGGATGGTTGGTTTTTCTTTCTCTGATTTAACATTAGGCAAAGGAAGGGGAATTACGATTCCTCTTACGCACTTGTAAAATTCCACACAACTGTAAATCAGACGAAACAAAAATTTCAGTTTGATATTAGGAGATTTGGTGAATTGTGACTGGTCTCAGCTTCTATTCAGCAATAATGATTTCAAATTTGACTCACTGTTATTTGCGTGTAGTGGTGTTGGATAATCGATATTGATTGGAACTAATCATCCTTCAGATTTCCCCTTCACTCACAAACCTCAGGTCGTGTGGTCAGCCATATACTCGGAAGCATTAGTTTACAGCTGGTTGGAACAGTGGTAATCCACCCGCTTGCATTGGGGTAGGTTTGGAGTTCAAAGCCCCGACGGGACGGTGTATATGCACCCCTGGTGAGCTTTAAGTAAAGCAAAAGTCGAGTCTAGTGTTTCGGAGTGTATGGGTGACTAGAAGAACTGAGGATTGTGCGTGAGCGTAAAGTCTGATGCATGGTCAGTTTCAATCAACTAAACCTGATTTGGTGATGAATTCGTCGTGTAAATGAGGCGTGAGCGAAAAAGCTAGGAAGCACTAGACAGCTGGTTTGACCTCTCAACTAATACTTATTTAGTGTTTGGTTGTTATTGTTCGCTTTACCGAAGAAACAGCACAGTTTTCTACCGTAAAAGGTTTGTATTATGCTTCAACAGTCCGATTGGGTACATAATCATTGTGGCTCACAGAAGCTCATTTTTACATCCAGATAGTTGATTAAACAGATACTTTAAACTCCATAACTTATTCTGAAGAAATTGAAATTACCCATGAACGTCGTCGTCGGTGACTCTAACAACCTCATAAGGCGCTTTATGTCTGCTTGAGGTAGATATTCATCTCATTATAATGCGAGCGTTGTGAATGATTCTCCTATTCAATGTTATACTCCGCCCCTGCCCCACACCAATCATTACAGTGTTTACGCCTCCATCACACTCTTCTCAACGGTCTTTTCCACTCTGGTCGCGGACAATCCCTGTCTGACACGATCGGCAATCGTGAAAATCATTCAAACGACCGGTCCTGGAAGTACCGGACTGACATTCACCTGGTATGTTTGATAGGTGAAGCCTTGTTACACCCTTATGCTTTGCGGTTGTCTTCCGAGGCTGTGGACTGCTGAGCACGAAGACGTAATTTGAATTGAAGTTACTCGGCATATTCACAATGAAATTTTGGGTTGGAATTATCCATGTCACACCTCCAGAGTTTAGGCATATTGTCCCCTGTGTTCGACATTGAAACAAGCGAAACTGCGATCAGTAATTGTTGCAGAAGGATCTCGTTTCAGTCTTTAGATGGAAGTGTTTGCTGACACTTTGCAGCTGAGAACTTGAAGCGAATCCAAATATCATTGAAACGTGAGCCATAAAACCTGGGCCTTTGAGTGCCCACGGGAATTAGAGGACGATAAGCGGGATAAGTTAAATTGTTGTTCATAACTCTCTGCCAATCGACGAGTAAATACCAAGGTCAAGGTACTTTGTTGTTCTGGATTGCGCTTCCCTTCATGAGAATTCACTCATTATCCGCATGAAATTTGAAAACCTACGTCGGTTAGCAGTTTCATCCAGTTGAAAAGTAAAAAGAAATGGAGAGCCACACAAATCGCGGTTGACATGTTCAACGTCTCCTGATATCATCCGTATATCTGAAAGCTAATCGCAATGAAAAGTACTATGATAGATGTAAAACGATTCTGTATTTAATTTAAGTATCAAGTTATCCACTGCGGTCGCATTGGTTTGCGCTGATTGTTTTTATTGGTAACGTTAAAAGATATTTTACTGTCTATTTGATTGCGTGCATAGTTAACGGCCCAGCACTGTCAAATACAGATAGGGAGGCCACAGTAAAGGGCTTTTCCACATACAATGAGAGTATCAAAGACTTGAGTTCTAAACACATACATACTCTTTATCGATCAAACCTGAAATACCAGCTCATTTCAATTTGGTGCATATTCACAATGAAATACCAATTTATTCTATTGGTATTTATCAAACCATGAATATTTCCCAGGTTTAGCTCCAAGCAGGGAAGAGAGGACACATCTGACCTGAAGAAATTTGAAGCCAAGCCAAGCATTCCATCAAGAGTTAATCAATAAACTGTCTGATTTAAGGTTTGCGAGAAAACTGATATTATCGCATTTTTTTAGTAAAACACACCCATATTGTGTACAAATTCAAAACTGAGGTATGAGGAGAGCTTACATCCTTATCGACAGATGAATTTTATGGATCACCTAAATACTTTAGCAACTTGATGCAGTTGAATGAGAGAAATCCGGGCACGTCAGTTTCAGATTGTTTTTACAGGTATAATTTTCAAATTTGTTTTGTGATTTGGTTAATTGAAAGAAATTAATTCCTTCTTACTTTTGTCCCTGTTTAAGTAGAGAGATAATGATGCAATAAACTAAGCAACGCGTTTATTGTAGACGAAAATTTATGTAGCCGGTTCATAGACCGAGGAGCAAGCAGAAACTGGAAACACGTCGGAAGGCAGGCAGGCCATAATAGGCGCAAACGTCACATCCGAATACCATCAAGCTGACATTCAAGAATTTAGCCAATCGATCAATTAATCAATCGATCAATCCATCTGGCCATAGACCTGAATGGCAAACGGATCAGTCAGTTATACAGACCACAACATCACCTCTCCTTCCACACTGGAAACCAAACATTTTGCAGGTTCAGTGGTCGCGACGCCAAATTTCATGTCCTAGTCCTTGCTCGTACCAACACAGAACTGACTATCCAAATAGAAAACATTCTGGGACTGCACTAAGAACACCAGGAAAAATTTGATCTCTTCAAAATATGTGACATTTGGAAGACATTGTTTTAACTACACAAGTTATCACTATTTCTTGATTTGTTGTTTTACATGTTCCTAATTTGTGGAAGGAGAGCTGGTGTCGCTGCCTCTAACTGACTGATACGTTGTCATACATGCCTGTGGCCAGATTGCTTGATCGATTTATTGATTAATCGATTGGCTGACTTCTTGAATGCCGGCTTAACAGCATTTGGATGTAGTGTGACATTTGAGCTTGTGTTGGTCTGCCTGCTCGCCTGGCTTCCTACTTGTTACATGTTTCTGCTTGATCCCCGGTCTATGAATCGGCTACATGAGCGCCTTCTACAATAAACGCGTTGCTTAATTCATTGTGTGCTCATCAATCCATTACAACTTTGGACATAACACTTTTACTTTTTCACTTTCTCAAGAATTGCCATTCTTCCCCCCGCTCGTCAATTTAGGATACCTGTCCTATTCTCCAAAGTTGGCATCTTTGGACGAGTGTTGTGTGCGCTGTTTTTTCTCTGTCTCTCGTTTGCCGGGATTAGTTCTCTTATTGCTGAGATTCAGGTCTACGTTGCGACTCTTAAAGATATCGGTCGTAAGTTTTACACTTTCTATTAATATGAATCAGTTACTATTATTTTGTCTTTTATTGTATTGTTTTATATTGTATTGTATTGTAATGATTTGTGTAAGAAAATATTATTACATTTCAGTCAAAAATGTTCACCTTTACAACGGAATAATAAATAAAGAAAAAAAATATTAAGCAATGTTGAAACTTCAACAAAAGATCGTATTTGTAGATTCAGGAGAAGTTCGCTCAGGATCTTCTTCTTGTCAGTCAGAGTACCTGTCAATTAGGTCACTGTTCAATTACGATGAATGCTTTTGCCGGGCTAAGCACCGATAACGGGATTGATTTGTACCGTGGGAACGGCAAACAGATTGTGGTCGGGATCGAGTGAAGGATTGGAGGTTCTTAAGTAACTTATGGGCGAAATTCTCACACGAAGTAATATGAAAATCACACAATTTTCTGATCGGAACGTTTATGGGAATAAAGGAAAGACAACTAATAAAAATAACGAACCAAGGTGAAGGGTAGAGGAATCCATGTTTAGTTGACCAGGGAAAATAACGTGTGAAGAATGATGCATGGCAAGAAAAATGCATTGATTAACAAAAGAAAATATAGTTAAATACCTTACACTGAATAGTTGTGGCTGGCTTATCTGGAAGGATAAGCGACGCAGTTTACCAACCCAGGCTAGCACATGAAAGGACCACCGTAGAATGCGCTCTGTGATGGCTCCTAGGGATTCGGTGGTGCGTGCGTTCACGAAATGGGTGCGTATTTGATGACTGAAGGTCTCAAGGGATCTTCAGACCAGGAAAGACTGACTGAAAACGCAACCAGAGCATTTCGAATCATTTTGCTGGAGACCGGATTGGTTTGAGAATGATGGTACTTGTAATAAACTATCAAAAAATAAATCCACGTCAGATTGGTTTGAGATGTTCTTGCACAAAACCAGATTATCAGCATATATATAAAGGTCTTGGCTGGTGGGTGGGTGACTGATTATTGCTGAAAATAAATATAGAGACATCGCGGTACCCTGAGGGACTCCAGAATTATCCACCAACTGTTTTAAAACAGTTCCACTTATCTTCTTTCTTTGAATCCTCCGTGAGCAATAGTCTTTCAGCCATGACAATAAAGTGATAGAGCAACCGAGCGATTGTAACTTTCGACGAAGAAGAGATCATGTAACGGAATCGAAAGCGGATGAATAATCCAGGAAAACACAAAGAAATGATTTTTGGGAATCGTCCGAAGATTTTAAAGTGAAGTGCATCACTGGGGCGCAGCATGCAAAGAACGTTTCTGGCTTATACACAAAATGTAGGGAGTCACCAGGGGAACATTAAAACCAGACAACATGCAGGTGAGAATGGAATGAATGTATTGATGCTGCTAAAAGCCGCACATCTCCTCAGAAAATTGGGAGGGAGCACAGAGGTGCAGAATACAACTATTAACTTCGAGATAGTGAGTCCGTTTGCATTATTGCACACTAGTCAAGTACAATGTATCGCTAATTTAGTTATAATCAAGTTTAGTCATATTTACGGAAGTTACTCATGAGTAGGTCTGTGCGCCTTCTGAAACGAACAACCTGGTGTGCAAGAACGGTTACGTTGTTTCGGAAGCCTCACCTCGAAATTCATCCAATCCGTTGGCAAACGAAAAATGCTTCGCACAAGGCTGTCTGATGTGCAAGTCAGTGCAAGTGGATAAGCTATCGGTTACCTGGTAATAGTGCTTGTATGGACATCCCAGCTGGTGTATGATATCACTTCGGTTGTGACTCACACATTCTACTGATCAACCTATGCGGTTTGCTCAGATTATCAGAGCCGTAAGAGGCTATTTATTCGCAAAGTAGATCCATCGTCTGTGTTTGCGATCGAATCGTTTTAAGTGGTTGTGGTAAAATGAGAGAGGAATACCTGGAAACTATTGGTTGCAATGCTGGAACTATACAAATCTAATCGAAACTGAAGCAACGGGTTCCTGTGAAACACTTGTGGGTTGTTATAGGCAACAGTATTTACACTGAAGTAATTTTTTTCCAACTAATAATAAACACGCCTTGGTGATTATTTATAGCATTGATTTTCCTGATTTGTTTGTACTCAGCTGATGGAATGGTTCCTAATGTGGCCGATACTCCCATTTCGTCAGTTGTGGTTGACCTGGACCATAATAAGTTAAGAGCAAAGCTGTGCACAAAAATGACCGTGATTTTAAGGTTGACTTTGATTAAAATGGTATTTTTCGTATTCAATGAGTTAGCCATCAAACATAGACTATTGTTATGAAAACTTATTTAGCGTAATTTATCCGGGTTGTGAAAGAATTTCATTTGGTTATTCAATAGAATTGCTATAATGGACTATAAATGAGATAAAATAATGCCTCATAACAAACAATCGAAATGGCAAGGGTTTATGGAAATAGTTTGGGGTAATTCTTGAGTCATTCCTATTATAATATGATACTTTTTATACTTGATGAAGTTTGCGATTTTCATGCTGAGATTATTTAATCTTGGCATACGAGGTCAGACACGTTTAATTAACAATCA